ATTTAAATTTAGTTATTATATAAAACAAAACAATTTTTCATTCAATCAGCAGGATAAAAATTTTAAGGATTTCCTAAGGTACAAATCATAAATGATTGTGTATGAAAAAATTCCAATTGTCAAACTAAAGTAACGACATGCTGAATTGAGATTCTTTATCGTAGACCCCCGTGCACATATCATAGACCCCCAATTCCCTTTTTAACTTTCGTAGAACCCTTGGAAGTCTCCGTAGACCCCTGTGGGTCTATGTAGACCATTGTGGAAATCACTGTTCTAAATCAAAAGAGTTGTTAAAGAACTAGATTAAGTTGAAATTGTGCCATGAAAAAATAAGAGTACTAGGGGAAATCAGTTTCTTTAATATGACGTGATTTTTTTCTTAAGTTATTACTATGTCTAAGGATTTAGAAATTTATTCCAGTTTGTGTTTGTAATAAACTCGTTTATTAATTAAAAGAAATATTTGATTTTTGAAAACAAGAACTTGCTTGAACTTGAGATTATTTGTTTAAACATTTAAAAAACTCACTATGTGGAATAAATATGAGAGCCTCTGGCTAGTAGTGTACTACGTACTACCATAATTTAAATCAAGGAATCCTTGCGAAATGATTTCCCTGTCACCATCCAAGTGAACGAATACCTTGCTGACTGACTTTGTTTTCTGTACTTCTAGTAATACTATACTGTAAATTGGCCTTCAATCTCTGATTACAGACTGCAACATTCTTACATGTTGATGAAAAATTTTTGAGTTTTCTGTTGTTTAGATCTTGTACTTTGATATGTTGTCAAAAAATTCAACAATTATCCTTTGAATCCCTCGTGGGGGGGGGGGGGGGGGAGGAGTCCTTTATACGTTGAAGTTCCAAATCAAGATGAAAGACATTCTATTAGTTAGCTATCAGTGTTCTATTACTATCAATTCCCTAAAACGTTTTGGAGAGCTGAGGACCAGACATGTTTGTGTCACTTTGTTTCCCATGTGAGAATGAGGGGAAATGTCTGCGTAGAGAGAGTTAAAGAGTCTTGTTCCTGGCTTGGCTCCGAGTCTAAGTGACACCTATCGATGGCACATAGGTGCAAGAAAAAACTTAGATTGTGACTGGTGTGGTACACGAGCCACATTCTTACATGTACTTAACATAAGTCATACGAATATGGAGTATTATAATAGGAATCTAGAAGAGTTGTATGGAAACTTAAATCTTTTATTCTGGAAGAGGATTAACTTTCACTGTGTAACTGATAAGTCACTTTCCTTTTCCTGGTGTCTTTAATGATAATCAGAAATAATTTAATGTATCTAACTTTCATGTGTATTCGACAGTCTAGCCTCTTATTACAAAGTAATGGATTTTATTGGTGAGATAAGTTGGGTATCAGATCGTTTAATTGGATGTAAAATGTATTCCACACAGATTTCATTTATATTGCTTGCATTTCTATTGAACTAATTTCACGTTCAATCTTATGTTTTTGACATAAGATGGACAAGATAAGATAATTTTCACAATGACGCAAAGAAAATGTAGAAAATTCGTATTTAGTAATCGCTTGCAATTTTAGGCCGAATAAAAAGTATGTCTCGAGAATCAACATTTCAAAATAGTTCGTCTTATTTCTGTTCCGCGTCAGAGCATAGTAGTTTGTTTATTTTTTGTTTACTTTGATATACATTGTAAATTATTCATCAACCTTGGAACTTCATGAGCTTGGTATATGGATGGCTGCCTGGTCTTGGGGAAAGCGCTTTGGATTGTCTCTATGGTCGTGGGTTCAAACCTTGTCGCCGCCCCACCACGCCGTCTTTGGTGTAAATATTTATTCTAATTTGTTTTTCTTTCTTTTTCGCTTCGGGCCAGTGTTCATTGGCTTATGTCTGAAATCTTGTTTTGCGTTACATTGACCAATTGTCCGTATTGAGGTCTCTGGACGGTGTCTTGAATCGTTTTTCTGTGGTAACATTAGAGCGTTTCAATTCTTTTTTAATCAAAAGTCTAGCAATTTTTTCTTAAAGCGAGGGTAATTCGTTATGGAGGTATAGTCAGCCTACTAGCTGTTAGATCTGGAAAGGGGGAGCGAGACTTTGTCTCGCGTGGGAAGACGGGGAAAGAGAATGTGGTCTATACTTGACATTCAGAAAAAAAATTCCATTGTGGTAATCGTAACACTCGTTTTTTATTGATGTACTAATGTTAGACAAAGTTATTCAAAAAATGTTTGAGACCTCTTTTTTGTGTGTGTAGAATTATTTATTCATATTCCTTAAAAATTAAAAAGCCTACATATAAAGGGTATTATTTCGAACTATGCATGTCGGGCACACGGCGGCTCTAGAAGACGTCATAACCAACGCTTTTAAAAAATCCACTTATCATGTAACATAGTTCCCTTGTAAAATGTGGAGAGAGGAAGTGTTTTCCCCTTCCCCCGCTTCTTAAACCATATTCTTTCTGGTTCACGGGTACAGGCAGTCGAGAGGTCAAATGATGGCCCCAAAACACTTAAGGACAGGCAGTCGAGAGGTCAAATGATGGCCCCAAAACACTTCATGATTTTTTACCAAATTATTAAATTTTTACTACCTTTACTATTTTAACTGTGAATAGACCTTATTTTTAATGATTTACCTGTATGAAATTTAGCTCTTGTAAAGGAGAGTAATCCTTGAAAGATTACGGGCACGACATGGCCTAAATTGTACCGATATAAAAACTCAAACTCAAACTCACTTCATGACAGGCAGTCGAGAGGTCAAATGAGGTTGAGTGGAAACGCTAAAATCAGAACCGCCCCACCTCGCTGTATTTTACGTTTGTAAGATTCCAAGATCTTACTTTGTTTAGCCCTCAGCCACCAGCTGAGTTGTTTTTTAAAGTAGGAGAATGGAAAACACAACATAAGAATAGGCGTAGGGAGTATCAACTGACATTCCCTCCGGCAGCTTCTGCAACTGAGTTGGTTTCAATTGTAACGCGAAACGTTCATTTGGATTCTATCAGCAATGTCGAGGCGCACGGGCCACCCATGACCCTTTATTTAAGGCCCAGGAATGCGCCCCGGAGAGGTAACTCTGGTGCTGCTAATAATGTTTGTAATTTACTTTGACAAATGATTTTCAAAATGATTTTCATAAATCATTTGAATTCCCCACACAAAAAAACAACTCTCCTAGCCCCTCTCATTCCCCCCCCCCCCCCCGATCCAATGGAACGATGTAGATGTCTATTCCTCTCCTTTTGTCGTTTGACGGGTATAATAGAATAATAATATTGTTTCAAGAAATACTTTATTACATTTCGCTCTGTGTTTTGCGCGCAAATGTTGCGCACTCTTTTGGTGTGTTCACTTTCCTTTGGCGTGTATTCATTTCGAACCAATGCAAAACATACTTTCCCCTAGCGACGTGACGTAACAGCAATATTAACTTGTAACGAAGCAAGCTGTCATCAAACACACATGGCGGGTGGCTTGTGCAAGCTTTCCTCACCTTCAGCTACAGACCATTACTATGTCTAAGGATAAGCAAAAGAAATTTATTCCAGTTTGCGACGGTGCACCGAAAACTCAAATTCCACCACCGGAACTCGAAGAATATGTTAGGCCTCCATGTGTAGCGAATCTTCCGCCTTGTCCTATGAAAAAGAAGTCTAGACCACCAACACCTGTGCCAGAACCTGATATGCCCGTTCATCCATGCCCACCATCACTGAAGTGCCCCAATCCTTGTAGCCAGTAGCCGTTTTTGTGTCGATTCTTCACATTTTGTGGACATATTTGATGATCTACAACTGAGCTTGTCAAAATCTGTTCGCTGCCAGAAAAAATTTTCAACACCAGTTAGCACCAGGAGAGCAATGGGAGAATACAATGCCATCACTACAGATAAGTTAGTTGATAGTTGTGAACAAGAGCTCGATGTTGTAGACGTTCCTGGAGACAAACCAGCTGACAAAGTAGACGTTAATCCAGCAGACAATCCAGAAGTTCAAACCGACTGTCTTACATCGGAGAACCCTCTAGAAAATAAGGCCGAAGGAGACGTAGAGAAGTCTGACGGCACTGTGTGTGAAGAAGCAAACAAGGAAGTGGAACAAGTCACTACCGCAAAACCAGAAATGAAATCGACCAAACCCGCCAAATCAGAAGAAAAATGCGTCTTCAGGGAGAGATACATTCCAGTGCCAGTACTAGAGGAATACGTCCGACCTCCATGCACAGTGGCCTACCCGCCATGTAAACGACCACCGACACCACCCCCTCCACCAAGGCCACCAACTCCAGTACCCGATCCCGACATGCCTTTATCACCATGCCCACTTCCATACAAGGCGGTCAGTGATTGTTGTCAGAAATAAACAGCCCCGTGAAAGGTAAATGAGTTTTTTTTTATAATCTAAATCTTATCTAGATTTTACATCGCGATATAAAAATACATCTTATTCTGGTCGTGCGGTATGCGTGCTATAGGCTACTGTCGTCTGGGCGATCCAGGGTTCGAACCCTACCCGATCTATTCAATTTGAAACATTCTTAATGTTAAATGTTGATTCTTCTCTTCTAGATATCTAGATGTAGACTAGATCTACTTTAGCGTCCAATAATTTGATTTGGGTTTAGTCTAGATTTAGATAAGATTTATCTAGTCTAGATCTAGGGATCTGGATCAATATTAGATCTAATTAAATCTAAACTAGATGAGCGGTCTATTCCTTTGCTAGATCTAGATTGACAAGATGTAGAGTAATTAGAATCTAGATCTAGATCTGTTCTGTAGTGTCTATATACGATTCTATATCTCTAGCCTAAATATAGATCTAGAGAGATCTCTAGATTCAATATAGAATCTATCTAGATCTATGATAGATGTTATAATGAAAAAAAAATCTTAAATGTGTATATGTCATAGTAATAGTTTTTAGTTTATTTGTCAGGTCTTTTCAAAGTCATGCATTCTACCATCTTGAACACACCCCTTTTGTTATTTGGCGTTTTTTTTTTTTTGCTGCTTAGTTACAGCCATGACAACGCAATACTCTCGCGTGATTACTTACGCAGGCTAATGGAACCATGGCAACTAAAGTCCTGTAGCTATGCGCGTCATATCCCGGTACCCAAATGCTTCAATGACGCAATATTTGGCCATGACGTGAACTTCCTAGCTAACTAGTACCTATTCCTTCCACAGAGTCTGAAGTGAACAGTGAAAGACTACAGTGAAGAACAGTAACCTCCTTGAAGACTCCCTTAATACTTCAACATGTCTCAATGCAACTCTTGTGGAAAGGACTCAGCAAAAGAAACCAATGGCAAAAATTCTAAGAACGGAAGTGATACTTGCCCCGCTTGCCCTCCCCCGGCGAAAGAGTCTGGTCCTGTTGCAACAACTTGTCAAGCAAACAAACAGTTTAGCAGCAACTGCAAAAAGTGTGGAGAAAAGAAAACCTGTGGATGCAAAAAATAATTTGGTAAGTCATCTTTTTCTTCTAGATCTAGATCTGTATCGGAAGTAAACACTTTTTTTGTTTTCAGGAAAGTCTCAAAAGACTTATCAAGATCTAGTGTATAGACTAATATCTAGATCTAGATCTATATAGAATCATAGATCTATTTTTGGACTAGATCTACATCTCCAATCTAGGACTTCTACTTCTATCTAGATCCTAGATCTAGTCCTAGATGTAAACTAAGAATCTAAAATCGAATAAGCCTTTATTTGGTCTAGATCATTCTTCTTTTGAAGATCAGTTTTAGATCTAGATATCTATAATTATAGATCTAATCTAGAACTTGACGGTTTTTAATCTATAGATGTAGGTCTGGATCCAAATTCAAGACTATGAAAGTAAACTTACTTTATACAGTTGTTACAAAGTTTAGATCTATATCATTATCAATTCGCTTGCCAGTTTGTCTGGTACAAAGTTTCTCCCACACCCAATCATCTAAGATCAAGTTGAATTTTTTTATGCATTTAAAAAGCGATCATGGTAACATTTAGAAAATAGGACTACTCATTTCAACCACCTCTCCCCTTTTTTTACCAACTGGTAAAAAAAATGAAAAAGTGCTAAACAAAAAAAAAGTTTCTAATTGGAAAGATTTCTTATTGTTTGTCTAGATCTATTACAAATTTAATTACATGACTGATCCAAACTAGATCTAATTAATCTTGTTTTCAATTTTTTTTCTTGTTTATTACTGTGAATGCGTACATCTTATGGATCTAGGCTAAATCTAGATATACATTGCAGCATTAATGTAAAAGGTTATAGAAGCTTGTTTTGTTTACCTATTTTTTTTCTTAATTAGTTAACTTAATTGTAAATTTTTGTCGTTGGCCTTAGTATACACCCTAGATACACCAGCTGATGCCCGTGCTACGTTACGGTTTAAATATTTTTTGCTACACCTGAAATTGTAAAGTCCACTGATTCTTTCATACTTCAATCGAATGGCCCGCAAACCACTATGATCGAGTATTTATTAAGTCCATCAGTTATAGCCTCCATTCTTCCTGCACTACAATGCCCCCAACATACATGTTCAAATGAAACGCCCCTTCCCGCGTAACAGTTTGAAAGAGGAAACATCGCAACTTCATCCACTCGACAATTTTATTTTGTCGTTCATGGATCTAAATCTAGAGAGTACCTTATTTAGAATAACTCATCTTTATAAGCCATATTATACCATCCCTCCAAAAAAAAAAAAAAAAAGCCCCTCACACATACTCACTTTCAATAGGCCCTGATGTCCTAACTAAAGCCCGCGGGCTATACCCAGCCAGTGACTTGACGTTATCGGACACTTGGAGACTTCTGCACTCAGTTACTAAAGAAGCATCATAGACTTAGTTCCATTGGACTCGATGATTCCAATGCAGTGTTACGACACAAGATACGGCGCACTAGCGGAATGAATTAATTTTTTTCTTTTCAGGAGCGAATACACGGTGCAGGATACTAGCCAGGAAGAAAAGGTCCGGAAATGCCAAGCAGTAAAACCCTCGTCGTCCTCACTTGGTTGCAGTGTACAAGTCCAACTCTTGTGGTTGCAGTATACAACTCAAGTTTGTGCAAGTCTATAAGGAGCTCTACACTAACTTCTCTGTAGTCTTTCGAAATACCATCAACGGCCAAATTGTAACAAATAAAAAAATAAGAACTATTTTGTTTTTGAAAGTATTTCAATGTATTGTGCACTTGTAGTTCTTTGGTTATTAGTGTGTAATTTCACAAATAAAAAAGAAACAAAACTTAACCACATTTTAACTATATTTTCAATATATATATATATATATATATATATATATATATATATACCATTGACAAAAAATACACACACATACACAACAATCATGTAACAATTTAAAATTAATTTGTAACAGTTACTAATAATAATAATAAAAATTGAAAACACCATAATATTGTAATACAAATTAAAATATTGAACAGTTAATTAATGTAGGATGATGTCATACAATTTAAAGTTGTAAAAATAATAAGGCTTGTCTTCGAGTCTTTAAAGCTAACGAGAAAAAATTTGTATTCCAAATATGTAGAATATACCTAAATAAATAGGTGTTTTTAAATTTAAAAAAATAGCCTACATTTTCTCCTGTACAGAATGTCTTGTTTTTAAATAAAAAATACAAACACTTGACCATTTGCTGCTACACGTATATTTAAAAGCCAGATGACCAGCTAACCACTGTCAAGAAACGCTGACAAAAACTTTACGGCCATATCACAAGGTCATTAGGGCTCGCAAAGACCGTCCTTCAGTACCAGGCAGACAACAAAAGATTGGAGAAATACGGTTGACAGAAGAGTATGTGGGGTGCCTCAACGGTTCATCAGACTAACCTAAGAGGTGAGGTTAAGTATCATCAACCGCCTTTATGTAGGTGTTGCCCTGGCTGGTTGTGAAGACCGTTGACTAAAGGGGTTGGATCACTGAAAGCGAATCCAATCCCCAGTTCAATCTTTTGACGACAGGACATACTAATCTTTACCAGATGACAGTCATCTTCGAGTCCACAGGGAGCTATATGTAACACTCTCAGAACTCAACTCAAAACAGTTAATGAAACACTTTAATAGCTATTCAACTTATTTACAAAAGTACGTAGATCAACTTAAAGGAAATACAACGTCCAAATTGGACTATCTACTAAACAACTCTTGACTTAACTCAAACTATAGTTTCCGACTCTGAAAATATCCGCACTCTTTGTCTCAGAGCCCAACTTGCTCTCTCACAGTCCAGTCCACAACTTGCTCTCTCAGAGTCCAGTCCACAACTACCTTCAAAATTCACACATCTCATATTACCCCTACACACATTCGCGTAGACCTACTTCCCACATCTCATCTCGTGCAAGTCATGGTAGAGAGATAAAAATTTAGCCTACCATTATAAAAACACAGTTGGCAATTGTGAGATATCTCGAAACCAAAAGTGTAGCTCGATTTATAGAGAGACGACTGAACTAATGATAATAGGGGCGCTCAAGATATGAGACTCTACGATATTTTCCACTGTAAATAAATGTTTTAAGTGCTTTAAAATCTTTGGAAGTTTATGTGTGGGTTTTTAATATTGTCCAAAAGACAAAATGATTTAATAAATAGACGTCTAGTATCTTCAACTAAAAAAAAAAAGAGGAGTGTCATCCCTTTATGGAAGAACCATTTCAGTATCATGGTTTCCATGAAAATTCAGACCTTTTATATAATCCTTTCGAAATAATATAAGCATGTCTCAAGCACATACTACACGACCATGCAGCCATCCATAAATCGCAGTTTTCGTATTTTTTCGTCTACCGCAAATGGTCGAATGAGTGAAGAGTCAGTCAGTCAGTCAAGGCTTTTGCGATTATATTAATAAGAAGATTCGGCCTACGTTTAGTGTTTGTCGGAGCTCTGTAGATCGTTTACTATTGCAGGTGTTACAATTAAGATTTATTTGCTGTCAAATGTGCATATTTCAATTATGATGCCTTCTCCGATCGATAAAAAAGTGGGTCTGAAGCTTTGTAAGATCCACCAGCAGTCTCAACACCGAAATATTTCCTACATTCGTGCGCACTTCATCATAACAACAACAACAACAAAAAATCGCCTGACAAAGTGAAAAAGAAAAGGTGATGAATAGCCCGCTAATGAAGTGTGACAGACATTCAAGACATGCGTCTGTGGTAAGCTAAGTCTTCCTAAGACATCTCTGTGGCAACACTCCTCCTAGTTTATTATTATTATATTTTACTTACGAAAAAGACGTCCACAGAACGATTGTATGGCGCATGAAAGAAATAAGACTTTCTGACGCGAAAAACACATCCACAGAACGATTGTATGGCGCATGAAAGAAATAAGACTTTCTGACGCGAAAAACACATCCACAGAACGATTGTATGGCGCATGAAAGAAATAAGACTTTCTGACGCGAAAAACACATCCACAGAACGATTGTATGGCGCATGAAAGAAATAAGACTTTCTGACGCGAAAAACACATCCACAGAACGATTGTATGGCGCATGAAAGAAATAAGACTTTCTGACGCGAAAAACACATCCACAGAACGATTGTATGGCGCATGAAAGAAATAAGACTTTCTGACGCGAAAAACACATCCACAGAACGATGGTATGGCGCATGAAAGAAATAAGACCTTCTGACTTGAAAACACATCCACAGAACGATGGTATGGCGCATGAAAGAAATAAGACCTTCTGACTTGAAAACACATCCACAGAACAATGGTATGGCGCATGAAAGAAATAAGACCTTCTGACCCTGAAAACACATCCACAGAACGATGGTATGGCGCATGAAAGAAACAAGACTTTCTGACGCGAAAAAGACTTCCACAGAACGATGGTGTGACGCATAAAAGAAATGAGACCTTCTGAGGTGAAAACTACAAAAAAAAAAAAAGAAAAAAAAATCTTTGCTGGAGATGAAAAAATATTCACCAGCAAGAAAAAATGAATCTTCATGATGTCGCCTTTCGTGAAAACAATATCACAACTTCTATTTAGATGGTAAAAAGACTTCTCTTTACTTTATGGTTTTACTTCTTAAAGATCAGTAATAGGACCTGAGTATTTTTTGCTCACAAAATCTGAGGCAGTCCCCGAAGGATCCGCGATGCAGTTAAGCTGGTTTCAACCTTTTCAGCACGAATATATAGATATTAGCTACAAGCTATAAAAAAAAACCGGTG